TCAATTCTTTCTCGAGTTATCGTGCGGACAGACATACAAACAAACAGACAAACAGAATGAAACTTTTCCGGTCAGTGGAGTAATGGGCTTCGCTAATCGCTCAGCCAATAAGTACCCGTCAAATGCTGTGAGCATGTCAAAATTGGAGGCCGAAAGGCCTCATTCCGTTTACACTCCTACTAGCTCTATTTACGCCATACGTAACAGGCTTCGCGACATTTCACGAAACACTGATTCGCTGTGACGCGCTTGGCGCACACATAGCTAGGCCTGTGGCGCTGACACCAAAAACGAGTTAATAGGAGCGTGTACGAAAATAGGGCCTACTGGACCCCGAATTGCCCATGCTCACAGCAGTTTTGGTATATTTTTATGTAAAATTTAACGTTCTAATAAAAGTAGAAAATCTAGGGACCCTGAGCCCAAGGGAGCATGCAGTTTGACGCCAAATGTGTGGTTTAAGTATTACGTCCTTTAAAGTTTATCAATATGAAATCTTTTTTACGATTTCATAGACCATCATGCCGTTTACACCTTATTTTCGTTAAGAAGTGGCCTCGAGCACCCGAATGGTACACGATATAGCAAAACGGACGAAATTATCGCCCAAATAGTTCTACTTCGACGAGTCACACATTAAGAGCCCATAAGAAATATTTGAAAAAAACAAAAACTTTGCGACTTGCGGTTTTTGATGATTTTAAAGGTCAATTTTTAAGCCTGAAGGTTTTTTAAAAAGTCAATTTTTGAGCTCTAATCCTCATCTGCGAGCTCAGTCTTTTTGTGATACAAAACGACACTGAAATTCCCAGATCGCTAACTCAATAAAGGATTCCGGTAAAGCTGAAATTCAGCAGAATGCGAGGAAGAAGGAATCGGAAATAGCTATGCTATAACATGGTGACTTCCGTTTTCTTGTCCCTCGCATTTCTCTGCATTTCAGCTTTACCGGAATGCTTTATTCCTTCTCGAGTTATTGTGGGAACACACAGACAAACAGAATGGAACTTTTTGGGTCAGTGAGGTTATGGGCTTCGCTAATCGTTCAGCCAAGTAACTTATTTTAGGTGTCAGCGCCGCAGGCCTAGCTATAAGTTCGCTTGGCGCGTTGCAGCGCAACAGTGTTTCGTGAGTTATCGCGAAGCCTGTTACGCGAGACGTGGTCTGCGGTATATACTGCCAGTGTACAAATGACAAATTTGTATTTCTATTGTCGACATAACAGAAATGTGACGATTGTGAGGATGCTAAGTTGTAAGATTTAGAATTGCATCTGGTAAAGCTGTGCAAAAATGCCACTATCTGGGGACTCAGAAAGTCCTTTTAGATTTAGTGTGATGCATAAGTACCTTAAAGTTCTTTTAGAAGTAAGTTTAGTAAGAAAAACAAATGTTATCAGAAGTTTTAAAGCATTTTCCAAAACATTTTGCGTTTTCCAAACTTTGGAAAATTAATTGATTTTCCAAATAGCTATGTTACATCTGGCAGGATGCAATTTTAAATCCTAAGTTGTGACAAAGTTGGTGTTAAATTTTTACTGATCCAACAAATACCAATTTGTTAATCACCACAGGCTTCAAAAAAACATCATGCAAGATTTCATCGTAGATGCATGACGCGCCTTGCAAAGAACACAAAGTTCATTTAGAGTGTTTGTTCTTGTTATCCATTTAAAGATGTGCAAAGGGCAAGCATGCTTTTACCTCGGGGTAGTGTAGCAAGGTGTCGCGCACCCACAGAGCCTTCCCGATGACAACAAACACGGCGGGTGGCACAAAATGTACGCGGTGGGCCAACCACACCCTGCTGCCGCTTAGAACCCGCAGCGACCAGCGCTCCTGAGCAAACATGAATCTCTTCGCACTTGATGTGAATGACTGCGGGATTCAGGTAAAATCTCCGCGTGCTTCACCATACAGAACGTTTTTGGTCCAAGGTTGCTAAAACGGAAGTTATTCTTATAGATATTTTAAGTCCGGAACGGGTAAGTCCGGCTCGGGTAATTTCTTTGCGCAGGGTTTGCATTTTTCCACGCCCATGGGCTTGGCAACCCCATACAACAAGCCCTGGGCAGGCCGAGTGTCTTTGCTTCCCACGGTGGTAAAAAAGTGAGTCGGGCATGCGGAGTCGCCCAGTGTGCCCATGACTTGACTTGACTAACCACGAGGCCTTTTTGGGCGGCTGGTCACTACACTGTAAAAAATATTCTGAAATTTCAGAGCAAAATAGCTTCTAAATTTAATAACATTATCAGTTGTTCTTAAACGTAATAACAGATTATGACATTTAAGAAGTTTTCTTAACTTTGCAAACGAGGTTATAAGAATTCTGATAAAATTTCGCAATTGTACTAAGGGGTCATTAAATTTCATAACAACTTTAATGGATTTAAAAGGTTTCCTTAGTTTTGACAAAATTGTGTTCAAAAGTCACACTTATTCTTACTCTTAATACTAGCATTCAGAAAACTTCATAAAAGTCATGTAGCTTTTGACCACTGGACAATCTGGACATGGAGTTTTGGCGTTCAATATAGTATTGGGTGAACAACATCGAATTTAGGTAGGCGTAATGTAGCTATGCCACAGCCATATGTCAGAAAAGCAAGTTAACAAACATACGCCGTGCGACCATGTAGTTACTCTGGGAATGCCCCTGCACGGAGCGCCGCATAAGGTCGGGTGCGAGCGCTCCCCTCACAGGTATGTCCCGACAGCCACGCGGTCTAAGGCGTCAGTATCCGAACCCAAAGGTCCGAGGTTCGAATCCTTCAAGTAAGGTATGGTAAACATGTATAATATGTGGGAAGGTGGGTTTGAACATCTGTCCCTCGGGGAATGAACTAAATATTTTCCAGATTTGCGTTCGGCTGGAAAAGAAAAGCATTTTTGGCGCTTCTCAACACGTTCTTAATTTTCAAAACATGTTTTGAATTTTAAGGAACTTTTTGTTCTTAAATTTAAGAGCAAATTTGTTTTGTTAACTGCTTCAAAACATGTGTTATTAAAATTAAGATGGATTTTTTTTTTACAGTGTATATCATAGCCCGGTGGGCTTGTCAATTCACACTCCCACTGGCCTGAGAAGTTAGACCACCCTAGGTTTGATGTGTGGGTTTTCCAAGCCCAAGGTAGGTAAAATCGCATACAGTCATTCTGCCTAAATTCGGACTTGCGCCCTTAATTCGGACATTGTGCTGTATTTCACTATTGTCGCCTCCAAATCCATAATGCGTTTGACAAAATTTAACTTCTATGGGTTTGATGGAAAGGTAAGACCACCAAGTTTCCATTTCTGCCAAAAAAATAAATGTGTGAGTGATATTGCTTCCTCCAGAAATTCCTGAAATTTGTATTTTTAGCCCCCCAAAACAGGCGTTTAAAAATGTGTCTTGCAAGAATTTGGGGCTCCGAACAGTGTGTGCCCGGGTTATTCTGACCACAACATATGTGAAACTTGGTACTTTTATCTACAATATGACACCAAGTTTTTGATTTTTCGTCGCACGGTTTAGTTTTGGGAAGCGTTTTTGCAATGCGCCCTAAATTCGGACATTTTCTTTTACATGCAAAAGTGACTACTGTCCGAATTTAGGGCACGTTATAGCGATCTTTAAGCAGTTCTGGCGAATAAACTATACCAGATAAGGAAATTTGGACGGTAGGGTAAGGTCAAATTTTTTCACAAAGTTTCTGTACCCCCCCTCCCTCCCCCCCCCAAAAAAATCACTTTTTATAATATTTCAAAGCTGTCCGAATTTTGGACGCATTCGTTCCTAAATACGGACACGATTCAAACAGCCCTCATTCCTATACCGTTATAGGGACAACAAATATTTTCGGAGAGTGGTGGGTGCGTCTTGACGTGAGGATTCTAGAATCCACGGCGATTTTTCATATTTCAAAATTCTAGATGTCACAGGCGTTTTTCCTCAAAAACCGTCCGAATTTAGGGACAATGACTGTATATTTCTTTTATAGTGCTGCTAGATGGGTATTACGATCACATTTTCTATAATATCCATACATGAGTGCTTATAAAATTGTGTATCAGTTTTTGCATCAGACGATGTATGCAATGCAGAACTCACCGTGCGATGAAGACGTTGCAAATATCCGTCTGCGAAGCAAAATGAGTGCTGCATGTGTATTCGTATTGGCGCACCATCAGGTAAAGCAGAATTCATCACCTTCCAGAATCATAGCAAACGTTCTAGATCAACATGTTACATTTGAGCGGAGTCTGCTGTTCCGCCAGACGAAGTTGCCAGCTTCATGTCGCTCCGCACGTGACTTAACAAGGTAGTAAGATACCAAACTTTTTGGTATTAGTTTTATTTTTAATTTTTGAAAATAAAACAATTTTTGATGCATGAGTTAATATTTTGCAGGAATTTTTCAAAATTTTTGTACGCTCTTTAATTGAAAGCAATGAAATAGCTGAGAAGGGTAAGGGCCTTGATGTTTTATATAAAATTCAAGATTATGATGATGTGTCTGGAACTGTCAAGGTAGAGGTAAGTCCCACAAGAACGTTTTGATTTTTAGCCCGCTCTTTTGCTTATTACAGTGAGGGCTCGCTATAGTTCCGCTCTCTATAGTTCCGCCGGCGCTCCCTCCCCGCCAGGCCTGGTTCCCCCACTCCGAGCGAGAAGCGGCCCCCCTCTCTTCCTCCTCCCCACCACCTTCCCCCCGGGCTGCCAGCCGGCCAGCAGTGTGAGCAAGAGCGGTAGAGAAGGAGTAGGGGAAGACGCTCGCTATAGTTCCGCCTCTGGCGACCCCAATCACCCACTCCAATTCTGAACCGGAGGCGTAACTATAGCGAGTGCCTACTGTAGCCCGCCCTTTTGCTTAAAAGCTATATAAGCGGGCTTATGCCATCGCCTCTGT